AAAAAAAACAAAAAAAAAAAAACTTTACCATGCCTTTTGGACTTTTATGGTTAGCCCTGATAAGCAATGGCTAGATTTTCAAATCTAACTATTGTTACGGTTTTAGATGATAATATGTCAAGTATGATATGGTAAAATTTTAGGATGACTCTCTGGTAAATATTTGAGATTTTGTGACTCTTGCCATTTCTCTTGGTTAACTTTTCTAGGCATTGTAAATATTTTTCTGACATTTTTGTGTGAACTGGTTCAATTATTAATCTTAGTTCTCCATGTTAAGGAAATGAAGCAGACTTGCACGGTTTTAATTTTACTTGGGTGTTTATTTGTGAATAACATTCGGCTATACTCCGCTGGTTATCATTGACTTATAACCGGGGGTCTTCACCTAAAGTGTCGATTTTCGCGTCAAAAAGCAGCGATAACTATGAGTATGTGGTCTTTAAGCGGTTTAAGTTGAGTAACCGGGCTCCTTCATTGAAGAGATGTCGGAGTTCGCGTCAAAAGACTTGAATGGCTCAAGACTAAGCACTTCCTCCAAAAAAAAAAAAAAAAAGAAGTATACGAGCATGAAAGTATGCGAATAATGGTATTGCCTGCGGATCCATGAGTCTTTATGTTGAGATTTTGCTTAATAGTTGGACCAGTTAATAAAGAATGTTGGTTGGATATTTTCTATTCTTAGATTGGTTAGTCTGGATTTGAAAGAGTCATTGGTTTTAAAAGCTAGTTGGAGAGTTATCTCGTAAAATTTGTCATCAGTACTTGACAGTTATCTAAATCATACATTGGCAATAGTTACTTTGATTAATAGCCATTGTTTTGAATTCAACTGCTGCAAAAATGTTTGCTCGCTTGGTTGTGTATTTAAAGTTTGAAATGCTTGATGACAAGCATTGTCTTGGTGTGGGGGAATTTGATAGGGATATAATTATGCATTTTATTTGTGGTTATTTGGTCTTAATTTTGGCAGTTTATTATGCAAAGTATTGGATTTCTGCTCATAATTGGTATTTGTGTTAATTACAGGCAATTGGTGATAAAAGTGATAAAAAAGGGGCAAATTCCAGAAGACTAGGCCTTCTCTGGCGTGCCCACGCCAGACAACACAGAGTTGCGTGAAAAAGCCGGATCGTGGGCCCAAGCCCTGGAACAACCATTCTGATTGGAAGATACCTTTTTACCATGCGTGAAATCAGGAAACCTTAAAAGCAAGAAGTCTTTTGGCAACAAACAACTAAGAAAGTAAGAAAAAGGAATCCTTTTGGGAAACACAGGAGAATTGGAAACCAATTGGAATTGGAAAGCAAGTGCCGCGAAGACCTTTAAGTAGCAGAGGAAATAGAATTCGAAGAGGATTTTTGGTAACAATCCAACGGGGGAATAAAGGAAGCAAATTGTTTGAAGAAACCCACCTATTATTTCGGCTAGCAAAAAGGAAGCGGCGGCACAAACAATAAAAAGAAGACAGCAATAGACTAGTGGGAGGATCTTCGTCTTGGACTTTTCTTCTCTCGGCTTTTGCTTTATCATTGTTAGTCGCTTAGCGGCCGCATTGTTTTTCACTTCGTCTTGGGTTCAGCAAAAACTTCATGAAAACTATGAATTGCTTCGTCGTTATGTGGCAAGGCTGAATCTTTTATCTAGTTGAGGAATAAATCAAGGATTGGAGCACCATAACTGTGAGATCGTTTTAATTATTTTATTTTTAATTTATATGTTCATGGGTATTTGATTATTCTCTATTTCTCCCTGAGTTATTATTGTTTAGATTTATTGGATAATTAGGCCTGTTATTCGATTGTCTAAATAATTGATAGCCAATTAGGATGTTGGCGCGTCGCCTTTAAGTATCTTGATTAGTGGCAAACGAGACAATTTCACCGCCTCGCAAGCGGTTTAATTTGGATCGTGGGGATAATTAATCTAGCCTAAATAAACCCGCATGTGTGTTTATCATCTAGAATTGGGTCTTTCTAATTCCTAATGCTGTGGCTACATTAAATCCTGTGAGCATTCCTGGGGTTGTCTAATCACAAGAAGGTAGTTTATGAGCGTCTCTTGACTACCATAAAATTAAGGAAAGATTGGTGGTTGGGCGCGTCGCTTGACCACTATAACCAGTTTATTCGTGAGTATATGAATTGTCCCTTGTATCTGTGATCAGTTGTGTGTTTCGGTGCCAAGATTAATTCCTTGACTAGGTTGTTTTAATTAATTGTTATTTGTGTAATTTGGTTCCTGCTATCTTACTCAACTTTAAATTTCAGTTTTTATTCCTTTTAAATTAGTTGGTACTACTGCTAAAATCCCCCCCCCCATTTTCCTGTGTGATTTGCCTACCTGTTCCCTGAGGAGACGACCCTACTCACCACTATACTCATTCAGTTTTGGTAGCAGGTCTAATATAAATTTTATTTTTGGTGGTTTGACACCCACCACTCTACTAAAATGGTTTAGAGATTCAATATAGTTTAGTAATACAACTGTCAAACCAAACCTTAGTTTGCCCTCATTCATGGTATATCTCATTTTCTGATGTAAGTAAACTTCAATCATTCTTATATCTTTGGGACAAAGATGCACCGTTCTTTTATGATTGTCAAGCACTGCTCTTTTTTTAGACTATCTTTTTTTTCCCTCTTTATCCTTTTAGCTTAGGTGACCTATATTTGGACAGCACATAATCAAGTTCAATAGAGGATCTACTGCTTAAAGAGGATACAAGGAGGAGAAGAAGAAGGTTTGACCAACTTCATTAGCTGCATTTTATGTTAGGTAAGTACTAAGACCTATGATCAGTTATAATAAATTGAGTCCATAAGGACCATAACTATAGTTTAGGTTCATTAATTGGAACTAGTACTTAATATGTTTTTGTTGTTGTTCAAATTTAACTTGAAATGCTGTAGCTATATTCCAATCTTATTACTTGAATGCTAGACATTTTTGGCAACAATTTATTGTTTAGATTTTACTTTTTCAATTATTGGAATGAAATGCTAAACCACTGAAATTTGGGCTGGTTTATAATATCATGTAATGAATTTCTGTTTAGAAGTTGCTCTCTTATGTGTGATTTTCGCAAACTTTGTAAAATTGGTATTTTCAAGGTTAGGGATAAAGTTACAATAAGGAGCATGATTGATCCAAACAAAATTTTGGCTATTGGAGTGGTTAGAAGTTTGGATCCTACGGCTAAAGTTGGTGACACACTTTTGGGATCACATTGGTGTGAAGTTCATGTGAATGTGCCAATGGAGAGTAATAAGGAGTTGATGAGGCCATACCATAATTTCTGAAAGATTGGAGATGCAATTGGAGTGGCTATTGCTTGGCCAATAAATCTAGTACTTTTTTTGTCATACCTTTACCATTTGTCTAATATAGTTATTATTTGTTTTCTGATGTTAAAACTGTAAAATAAGACCTATGTGAATTGCAATTTGTCTTGTTTGGTTTACGACACTTGTAGGAGAGTATTGAAGAAAACTAAAGCAACATTGGGTCAAGTGGCAGTTTTTTTGAAGGCACTATCCTTGCTTTGTAGTTGAGTTGATGTCCTATGCTTCCTTTATATGTACACATGACTAATTTAAAACCATCTAAATTAGTATATAATTTATAGACACTTTTGGTGTGGATGGTTTGGATGATATACTTTTGTTCAAGTTTGGATGATTGTATTGCTTATTTTATATTATTCTACTAGTTACGTTGCAATCCTTCAATTTAGGATCTGAGATGCTTGTGCAGTAGGATGAAATGTGGTTTCTGCTATCAGATGATATGCAGCAGGAAGTTGGAGCACTTTAATTTGGATGCTGTACTGATAAGTAGACAATATCATAAAAGCCTAATCTAGTTACACTTCAAAAGTGTCATAATATTTCTATCTACTTATACTAAAAAAGCGTCATGATATGTTATTGTACTTACAAAAAAAAGCATCATTATAGCTCCAATATATGACACTTACGAATATCACTTCTGATAGATATAATTGAAATTAACGGTAACTATACCCCTGCATTTCTTGTCATTTGAAAGTGTCATAATTGGCATAGATAATGACATTTAATAATGTCATAATAACAATAAATTGTGACGCTTAAAATTGTCATAAACCTATCGTGACGCTAGAATGGACAACGCTTCCAGTAGAGCGTCATTATAGCCTAAACGTCATGACATGAGTCTCTAATGACGCTTTTGAATGTCATAAAAGGACACTTTTTTTGTAGTGGACAATTTATTTTCTGGCCTGTTCTTCCTTTTTTTTTTCCCGGCTCTCTTACCTCGTCAAAGAGCCTATTACTTTGGTTATTATCATAGCATGGTTAGGTTACACAATTTGTTTCGCCAATTTAATGGGTAGATTTTACAAACTTACTTTTCTTCTTTGCATTTTAATCTTGATAACACCTCATTAATGTTTCAAAAACTAGAAGATCAATTTTTTAGCAAATGCTTTTACATTTTGAGCATTATCATTTAATTACATGGCTTTGTTTTATAAGTGTTTGTGAGCAAGTTGGGTAAAGCAGAGTTGACGATTGAACTATGTGGTTCATTGCCTACAATAGCAGTCTATTCTGCCCATAGTAATTGTAAGACAAAACGGCCAAGTTTGATCTCATAATTGTTTGCTTATACTTTTATGGGTTTCTTTTAATATTATTGACAATATCTTACTTGAGCTTTTATTTCGTATGTGCATTTGCCAAATGAGATTTTTAAAGCCCTTTTTTCTATCGTTAGTCATTATTGGTGAAGTCATTTTTTCAGTGTATGTAATATATGGTTCTTGGTATCTCAACGTTATAGTATTCAAATGTGAAAACAGTTTGAAAAAATGGAAGGAATATCTACTGAAAGGAGAAAAAATTTTAACTTTTTAGGTTGTGAATTTTTTTTGATTTATTTCCCTGTCATTTTTCCAATTTTACACTAGATTGGACCTTCAAGTTTCTGCTTCCTTTTCATTTCTGAAGTTTTTAATTTCTTGCTTTCTTCTTTAGTTTTGCTGCTCCTCATAATCTTAGATTGTTGCCTATTTGATAGATTGAGGAACATCACAAGGAAATACTAAAGGGAGGAGAAAAAGATTTAGCTTTTTAGGTTATCGTCTTTCCTTTTTATTTTGTGGTCATCTTTCCAGATTACCTTAACTTTGAATTTCAAATTTCTGATTTTTGTGCTTTGTAGTGGTTTTCACGAAGTGTCTAGTGGGTGTTGAAATTGTTAATTTTACCAATTCTGTTTTTTTTAGCTATTGCCTTCTCAACATGAATTGTTATGCATCTGAATCATATATGAAGCTGGGAGGTTCAGTTTGAAGTACTCTTGAGGTGGATATCTTTTCTCATAATTGTTATGCATTATACTCGTGTTCTATCATTTGCCATGCTGAATTTATCAATCATTCTAATATAGTCTTTGATAGCCATATATTGAAGGTTTTTTTAAATAATGTAGGTTATTCTTCTAGAAGCTGTGGATGTTGAAGAAAAGGCAAACAATTATCTAAAGGAAGAAATAGTTGAAAGAGATCAATCAATATTGCTTCATTTTTTCTAGACATATATATGTTTTCTCACCTTGTAGTTTCCTCCCAATGCTATACTGATGTGTTTATCACCTTGGCATTTATCACCTCTCTCCCAATGCTGCCATTTTGACTGCCAAGATCGACCCAAAAAAAATTACGTCAAATCATTCTGGAGGGGAAACAAAAAGAAATTAAGCATTTGCATGGTAATCGAGTGACTTTTAAGGTTAGCTTCCTGTTATTTTGTAGATATTTATTGGCTGTGAATTTTTCTTTTTCATTTTTAAAAGGGTAAAAAATAAAAAAACCCCCTGTGATAAACCTAATACACAGAAAAGCCCCCCGTGGTTTCAAAATATACAACACGACTCCTCATACTTTGAACTAAATTGTAAAGGTGACGGAATCCGTTAAACTTAACGGAAATGGTCAAAATGACCAAAATACCCTGATATAATTAAGCAAAAGACAGCTCAAAAAAATCATTTGTTTTATTTTCTAAATAGAGAGAATTGAGGGTTAAGGGGTAGAATTGGTATATTTGATAAAAAGTACGTATAAAAAAATTTTTTTAGGTTCCAATAAGTCATTTCCGTTAAGTTTAACGGATTCCGTCACTTTTACAATTTAGTTCAAAGCATGAGATGTCGTATTGTATATTTTGAAACTATAGGGGGATTTTCTGTGTATTAGGTTTACCACAGGGGGCTTTTTTGTTTTTAACCTTTTTTAAAATTTTATGACTATTAGGTATCATTTGGTGATTATTTTGTTTTTTGGTTTCTTTTGTGTGCATTATGACTGGTAAAGAAATAGAGGAGTTCACAAAGAGAACTACGCGCAGTTGGTTTCTTCAGGTTGTTTATTGCTTGGTGTGGTTATACGGTAGTCTTTAAAAGATTTTTTTGAGGGTTTTCTTGTCTAACTTTATATTTGTTGTGATATTGCAGGTTCAGATATGGAAAATCTTTTGCAATGTGTCTTGCCTACGGTTTTTCATATAAATACTCCAAGAAGATTATTCTCATTGCTTAAAGGGTTTGTTCTTTCCTCCCCTGCCTAAACTTCTCTAGCCTTTTTTTCCCTTTTTGTTCTCTGGTTTAGTTGTCTAACATTGTGGCTTGTTGTGGTTATTTTTTTCCCTTTGTAGGATAATAGGGTTGTTCTAGATCTTCTCTCTCTGCTTGATCGTCTTTAGCTCCAGAAGCAAGGAAATTTACAGAATCTATCTCCAAACTATCTAGTTTTTTTTGCCTCTTAATCTTTATTTCCTTTCTATATTTATTGGTTTTATTCCCCAAAAATTTTCACCTGGTTAATATCTAAATTTTGCCTATATTGTTCCTTATTTCTTTATCCATGCTTTCTCACAAAATAGATGCAGCCAAGAGAAGATCATCACCGAGAAACATTGCGGGCAATTTTGTTTCCTTGGGTTTCGTCCTTCTTCATCTCAGGTTTTCTCTATTTTATTTTCATTTTTTAACTTTTGTACTCTTTTTTAAGTAGTTTCTATGTTACTTGTTTCTTTCTTTGGGTCTCTAGAGCCCCCTGTACAAACTTGTATGATATTTATTATATATGGAAAAATTACTTGGTAGAGAAACTGAAGGAAAAGGTTGTCGAGAAACTCTGGAAAATGGAGTTTTCATGGCTCATCTGATGGGTTTTTTTTTTTGGTTTGTTATGTGCAGGGGTACGTTCACTTATTGACTCACAAAGATGATCCATATGGTAACCAACCCACAGTCTCCATTTGTGGAGATCAAATTTCATGTCAATGACTGTTAAAAACTTTAGTTATTTTTTTCGTGTCTTTATTTTTGAGAAAACTATTTTTCTTATTTTTTTCCCTTGTGAAGTTTTGGTTCTCATTTTCCGGACAGTGTATATGGATTCTTTAAAACAAAAGAAAAAAAATACTTTTGTGTTTTCTTAGTTTTTTTTTTCAACAAATGTTGTGTTTTCTTAGTTGCTGATAAAAGCACTGGAACTGATCAAGGAGATACTCGTTTTAAGAAGAAATAATAAAATTACATAGTCCTAAGCAATTTTTTTTTTGGAGAAAAATTTGTGTGAGTTGCATCTATGGTTGTAGAATTAGTTATTAGAATGATTGAAAAATTGGATTTTGATCGACTCATTATAGATGGTAAGAGCTTGAAAGTAAAATTGGATTTCTACTATTGCTTTAGGTAGAATAATTTCAAATGTATTACACTTTGAATATGTCTGAAGATCCAAGTTTTATTTGATTTAACTGTTCCACTGATGATGCATTATCCAACTGGGTTTAATTATTCTTGCTGACTTTGGTTAAGATTGTCTTTGTTGCTTTTTCGGTTCTTGAGATATTCCTTTTCTTTTGTTTAGAACATTAAAAGCAGAAGTGTGAAGATGCTCATGGGTTATTTGCATTAATATCATCAAGAAATTTTGTCAGATCTCATTGCTTTTGGTTTCTCCTAAGGTACTGTCTTGTCCTTTTACTTATTTATTTGCTTATTTTGACTTTCGGACTATTATTATAGGTTGGTATAAATTGTTTTTTTTTTCTTCAAAATTTGATGTTTCTGATCAGAATTAAGTGTTCCATAGAAATTCAAATTCCTATGATATTTTCTTGAGGATTTTTTTTGTTCAAATGTTTGGTAATCTGGTTTATGACATTGCTTCTTGTATGTAGCTTTTAACTTGGAGTTTTGTCTATAGAGAAGTTTTTCTAAACCCATCGTTCACTGCTGGATAGGTATTTGCTTTCAGCCTTTCACGGGAACGAGAAGAGAGTCTGAATGAAGCTGGAGTTCTCTGATGCTATTAGTCATTGAAAGTCTAGAATCATTTTGCTTGTGGCCAATTAGAAATACTTTTTTCTTTTCTTTGTCAATTTGTTCAATCGGCACTGGTATATGGTTTAGTCTCGCTAAGTAGATTTTCTTTTTATACTGCATGTATATGCATTTTATTATTCGTTTGAATATACTGTAAAGGAAACTTATTGTTATTAAATATCCTTTTCTAGGAACTGACAACTTGATTTGTGGTTTTTATCAACAAAAAAACAAACTTATAGCTATTAAATGCCTTTTTTAGGAACTAACAACTCACTTTGTGTATTTCTTCAAGCTATATTTTTTCCCCTTCTCCATTGCATGTGTCTTTTTTTATTTCTATTTTCATTCTATGCAAAAGCAAGGAGCATCTTAATGCTCTTAGTAGTCTACTCATTGTATTGTCTTGCATTTCCTTGACAGATTATTCATATTCACTGCTTAATAAAACTACAAAAACAAAATGGCCAAGTTTTTGGTGTATCTTTTTGTAACTTTTCATACTTAATATTTGAATTTGAATCATTGGGCATTTCTGGGCAATCTTGAAAATTACACCGCGCATCGCGCGGTGTTCTCCTCCTAGTTTAATACAAATCTTGTACAAAGTTATAGCGTATAATAATACAAATCTTGTACAAAGTTACAGCGTATAATATAATACAAATCTTGCACATTATTACAATTGAATTCTGATTTGGTAAATGTAATAAGTAAAAATTGAAAATCAACGAACTTATTTTGTTGAACATTTTTATTTCTTCCCACACCCTTTCTACCTCGATTTACCAGATACATGATTCAAATCCTGAATGTAACACTAGCAAAGACCAAAATTCAACAAACTATTTTTTTAAAAATATACTCCCACCTCCAATTATCAGGTATATGATTTGAATTCTTAAAATGAGAGTGAAGAAAACTCTAAAAGTTCTCCACTGTCCACTGAACCAGTCCTAGTGGTTAGATTCAACGAACTTCTTTTTTTTTTTACCCTCTCTACACCCTTTCCACCCCACCTCCCATTGTTAGAGGATTTGAATCTTGGACCTGACGGCGACCTTAAGAGTCCTTCCATGATCACTAGCCGATCCTAAGTGGTTAAATTCAACGAACTTAATTACTCCTCAGCTCAAAAGTCAAATGTAATAAATATTACTTCGGAAATGGCAGGCTGCAGTTCCATTTGCTACCCTCTCTTAATTGCAAATGGGCTGTTAAGCTGCCCCCTTCTACCACTAATACCTGTGGTCTCACTAGCCTCGAACCCCTCCTGACTCTAGTGAGACTATTAACTACTCTTGCTTTTGATATTAACTTCGTCACCTACTCTACAATTTGTCGTCCCAGTTCCAGTCGTCCCATGTTGTTCTTCTCAGAAGAAAAATACCGAGGAATCCGAAGCATCTACCCATACATGGCTACTAACCAAAGAGGAAACAAGAGATCTCTCGACCAGGCCCTCAATCATCAGGCCAAGAAACCTCCACATTTCTTCAAAGTTGTGCTTTCTCCAATGGACCGAGGCATAGTAAGTAGCTATTACTAGTGTCACGCTACTAAATATTGGCACTTTATATTGTTTCACTGATGTGAACTTGTGGATGATAACCATTTCTGTTGCTAATGATTCGAAATTCAGAAAATCCCAACCGCATTTATGAGAGATTATGGAGAGAGTTTGGATCAGGTTGTGGTTTTGAAGGTTCCAACTGGAGCTTCGTGGCCAATAGAATTGCTCCAGACTGAATTTGGCACTTGGTTGGACAAAGGGTGGAAGGATTTTGCAGAGTATTATTCCATTAGAGAATGCCATTTCTTGGTGTTTAAATACGGTGGGGATTCCCAGTTCCAAGTTCTCATATTCGATCCATCTGCTTCAGAAATCGAATATCGTCTCGAAGCCCCTGAGGATCATGGTAAGCATGATCATAAGAACCAGCTGCCGATGAGGAGGAGGACCATGTTTCAGAAATCTGATGAAGTTGAATCTGATGATGATTCCTTTGAAATATTGGGGGAAGTTTCAGCTGCTGCATCATGCCATACCAAACAGAGGCGAAAATCAGCTCAGATTCATGAGGAACAAGATTCTGATAGCAGAAAAAATGAGAATGTTGAAAAATTGGAAGTAGATGTCAATCCACCTCAGAAGATGATCAAAAGTAATTTTCTCTAATCAACAGTTTTCATTCTTCTTTGCGTTACCATGTAGTAATAAATCAGTTTGATTGATGTTAATCTTGAGGTTAACTTGCTTGATTTGTCTGCAGAAGAAAGTTCTGAAGGAGTGCCCAGTACTCGTCAATCTGCAATTGCCAAAAGTGAAAAAGTGATTGATAAAGACAAGTTTATATCTTACCAAAGAGCAAAAACTTTCACGTCTGCGAATCCCTTCTTCATAAGTTTCATGCAACCATCTTATGTCACTTATTCATGCAAGCTGGTGATTTTAGCTAACTTTCGTGCATTAACACCTCTAATGATTTTTCTAATGAATGGCTGCCTTATTTAGTTAATGCTGTTACTTATAGATCGTTCTCTGTTTCGTAGTTCTTTTCACTGGTCTTTGCCAAGAAATATCTCAAGGAATGCAAGCATTGGGATATGGAGCTTCGTGTCTCAGAGGGGACCAAAATATGGCCTGTCACATGTTATATTTATACAACAAAAGCGAAAATTAAGCGAGGTTGGGAGGAGTTTGTGCTGGATAACAACCTAATGGTAGGTGATGTTTGTGTATTTGAATTGATGAAGGACAATCGAATGTTCAACGTCACTATATACCGAAGAAATTGAAGAACATGCATCCTAATCTGGTTCCACCAAGGTAATTGACACCGTTCTGTAGCTGGATTAGTTTTGAGTAACCTCTAGTATTTTTAGGAGGAACTATCAGCAGGGATCATCTTAGAATGACAGCATTAGTACTACTACTAGTGACATTAAATACTGTGCTCGTATTGTATAACTTAAGTTTTTGAATTGGTTACATTGTTTTGCAGTGGTTTTGTGCTTGCGAACAAGTAATTTTGCTTTTATGGTGTAATGTTTCAGTAAGAATGGAATTCAAAGATGTAAAACATATATACAGAGAACAATGTTGTAGTGTACCTTTAGTGTTCCATATAGCTCCTTGGAAGGAAAAACTTCAAGCATCATCATTATCTCCAATCCTTATTGCAGAGTGGAGGAACTTAGGACAATCCTCTTAACACCACTTCCTTTACTGCAAGAGCATAACACATTCAAGGTTCCCTTCATGGACTGATCAATGAAATTGCCTGCTAGAACATAGTTAAATTGTGTTTCTTTGGTGTCAATGTGTTGGTTA